ATCCTTGTGATTTTTTTTGTAGTTTTTTGGGCGTCTTTATGGTTCTTTTGTGTCTCTTTTTGGTTGTTTTGTTTCTCTTTTTGGTTGTTTTGTGTCTTCATGCATTCGATTTGTGTCTTTTTGTGGTTGTTTTGCCCATTTTTATAGTAATTTTTGTCTCTCTGTGGTTGCTTAGTTTCTTTTTTCAGTTGATTGTGTCTGAGGTAATTCTGTGTCTTTTGTGGTTGTTTTGTGTCTCCTTGTGATTTTTTTTAGTTTTTTGGGCGTCTTTGAGGTTCTTTTGTGTCTCTTTTTGGTTGTTTTGTGTCTTCATGCATTCTATTTGTGTCTTTTTGTGGTTGTTTTTGCCCATTTTTGTAGTTATTTTGTGTTTCTTTGCATTTTTTTTCCCTTTTTGTGGTTTTTTGGGTCTTTTTGGAGTAATTTTGTGTCTGAGTTGGTCGTTTGTGTCTGTTGTCGTTTTGTGCTTGTTTTGTGTCTTCTTTTGCATCTTTTCACAGTCTTTTGGGGTCTCTTTGAGGTATAATTCTTGTGTCTTATTTGGACATTTTGTGTCTGGTTGTGGTCGTTTTGTGTCTTTTTGCAGTCATTTATGTCTCTTTATGTCATGTGTGTACCTCTGAGGTCATGTTGTGTCTTTTTTGGTCATTTTCTGTCACTTAGAAGTCATTTTGTGTCTCTGTCTGGTTGTTTTTTCCAGTCTTGTAATTATTTTGTTTGTCTTTGTTGTGTTTTTGTGTCTTTGTCAGTATTTTGAGTCTCTTCCTGTGAGTATGTGTTATTTTGAGTGACATATTGCAGGTGAAGGCCAGGGGGTGCACTGACACTTTGGGCTCCTGTGCCTGCGCCCTGTAGGCCCATTCTGTAATCTGCCCATGTATGTTCTGCAACACTAAATGTCCCACACTTACAGTAGGTTTGATGAGCTGAAGCACGCTCAAAGAATCCTGTAAAAATGACAATTAATTAATGAATTATTGATGGAACATGGCATTGAGCATCTCTTCTTTGATGGAGCATAACCATACACCCACACACACTCACTGTTTTCACATTAGACACCTGTTGTAACGGCCCACCCCTCTTGCTTAAGGCCAAGTGGGCTTATTTGAAAAAGTCACGTGCGTAACAACCCTAATACACACCTGCTCGCTATGGCCAGTGGACCTTATCTCAACCCTGGAGCTGGCTCCATGTACAGTAGTCAGCAGACAACAATCCTCAGTGAAAATCCACTTTGAAGTCATTTGTAGGAGATTATACCCTCTTATTTTTACATGCACCTGTGTGTGTGTGTGAATATATGCAGACATGATTGTGATGGCAGGGTTAAAAGAGCTATGTGCTGACAGTACGCACATCCTATATCTGCCCTCAGCCACCGGCAGCTGTCCCTCAGAAGGCTAAATATACTATGTGGCAGCTATGCAACACGTCTCCAGCGTGAGCTAACCCTGCTCACATTACACTGTATTTTTTAAATAAGATAACATGGACAGGGTTCGTGTGTCAAAGGCCCCTCAGCAATGTGGGAGGTGAAGAGGTTAATTCACACTGTGGGGGAGAAAGGGTCATTTTCTTTATGGATTATGTCATGTATTTTTAATTGGCTGTAGTAAAGGAGCTGGGGTGGGGTGGGGGGGGCTCGCTGGTGTACAGTGTATTGTTTTCAACTGTTATTTGCAGATGAGCAGCAGCAGGTTGACAAAAGGGATTTTATTACCTGTGGACATTTCTTTGCTCCATCAGCACTTGATTAAAGTTCTTCAACTAGAAAAAAAAATACTTTCAAATTTCAGTGAGTTCAACTTAGTTTAAAGGAATAGTTCAACATTTTGGGAAATGCTTTTTTTTTTTTTTTTTTTTTTTTTTTTGCTTTTTTGTTGAGTGTGACATGAGAAGATTGATACCAATATTACATCTGTTTTATAAATATGAAGAAACTGCTAGGAATCAGTTAGCTTAGCTCAAGCACTGGTAACAGCTAATGTTAGCCTAAACCAAAAAACAAAAAAGACACATTTTGGTGCTTTGCCCTCAGTAAAAACACAATGTGACATTTTAACACTCGCTTTTTGTACAGTTTGAACAAATAAAAATGTAAATATAATAATAAGTATATAATAAATAATGTCAAAAGACTGCTGCAGGGATGATTTTTTTTTTGTATTAGCATCGCTAACTTCCATTTTGGATTATTGCAGAAAATTAAGTCTGTGGCAAATGAGTTTATGGTACTTACACATTTTGTTCAGCAAAATAATCGTAACATTAACACCACCTTTATGATATTTGAAACATGAATGTAATTGCCAGAAGTAAAAAGCTAACATTAGGCTATGCCCCAGCTATTAGGCTAAATTAACTATGCTATGGTTGCCTAACTTTTTTTTTTTTTTTTTTTTGTGGCATTTTTAGCCTTTAATGGATAGGACAGACAAGTGTGAAAGGGGGAGAGAGAGAGGGAGTGACATGCAGCAAAGGGCCACAGGCTGGAGTCGAACCCGGGCCACTGCGGCAACAGTCTTGTACATGGGGCGCCTGCTCTATCCACTAAGCCACCGACGCCCCAGGTTGCATAACTTTAAGGTTGCCACCATGACAAGAGTGTAAAGCCAAGTTCAGTGTGATGACATTCTCTTGACTCATTTAGCAGCTTGTAAGCAAGCTTTTTTAACACCTAAAGCTCCAAAATTCACAAGTACTATATTTACTGACGTATTTTATGTCTGAGAACAAAAACGTGAAAGTCTCTGAAAGTGAAAATGTGTAAGTTTGTATTAACTACAGACTTCATCTCAGGCATCTAACCGTCAAAACCCATTCAAAAGACCCATCAACTTCAAGACGAGAGAAGCATGAGTTAAGCACTCATGCTTCTCTAGTCTTGAAGTTGAATGCAAACTCTTCTCTGGGTGTTAGCGATCTTTCCTGCAGCACTCTATTGGTAACTTCAGAAATGCTGTTAGGCAGATTTTGTCTGCGTGTGACAGAGCCAGGCTAGCTGATTCCACCGTTTCCACAATTTTTTTATAAGCTAGGCTAAGCGGCTCCCGGCTGTTTCAAATCTACAGACATAAAAGTTCTATTGATCCTCTCATCTAACTCTTGGCAATAACAACCCGGTCTCACTCCAAAGTCGGTGAAATCCGGTGCTTGGGCAGTGACTTGTGACGTCAGACACTGACAAAAAAGCTTATTTTGAAAGAAGTCAATGCATGTAACAGGTATAACTTGACACAGCGTCCCAGAACATCGACAGCCAACGTACCCAGGGTACCTTTCCCGTCGTATCTAAACATGGAAAGTCTATGGTCAAACATCGATATCTGACGAGATCAGAGTGAGAATGTGCTGGCAGTAAAGTGAAGAAGTGTATTTTTAAAATATCAAGCAAATTAATATGTGATAAGTTGACTTGTCTAAAACAAGTTCAGCACATCCTACATACACTGGCCTCAGTCTACCTTTTACATTTTAGAGATAAACATAAATAACTCTGTACAGTGCGCGTCAGGTCATCTTTCACCTGCCACGTAAAATGATTCACTGGTGTTTTGACAGTGAGGGCTTGGATACGGTTTCGCGTAGACATCATGTACACTCACGCACGCACACACATAACCTGAACTGAACTGAATATCACGAGTTCCATATAAGGGAACGGTGTCCTTGGAATCCCCATGTCTAAGTTACAGGGCATAAAGTTGATTTATAACAGTTTAGACACGCTTTTAATTACTGTTTAGATGTGTTCGTGGACACATGCAGACACTCACAGAGAGGTCACAGAATACTACTGGTTATACTGATGCTACGCTGGAATGCAAAAGCACTAAGATTATTTTTCACTTGAATAAAGAAATCCAATATTGAGATTCAGTTTTGTAAAAAGGTTCCTCATCTTCTGTATTATTAGTGTGACATTGTACAGTATAAACTGGTCTTTCATGTTAGTCTGGCCCAGGTGATGAAATGATGCATGAACTGACTTGTAAAAACCTTCGAACACAGAAAAATATTAGAACTTGTACCTTCAAGACTTGTACACATGTAGTACACTCATCTTAAGTTAACCTTTTGACAGATCTGGGGCACCCTGGTAGCACCTTAGTAGCTGACTGGGTGAGCACGTATCATTAACGCCTCGTTTCCACTTGCATATGTGAACGTAGACGAGGCAACCGGTAGTCCATGTTAGGGGTCGAAGGGGGGCTGGAGTCTATCCCAGCTGACATTGGGCGAGAGGCAGGGTACACCCTGGACAGGTCACCAGACTATCACAGGGCTGACACATAGAGACAGACAACCATTCACACCTAGTCTGCTTTTCTTTGGATGGTGGGAGAAAGCTGGAGTACCCGGAGAAAACCCACCCTGACACGGGGAGAACACGGGGAGAAGGGGGTTTGAACCACTGCACCACCCTGCCACCTGTGCTGTTGTGTTTGAAAATCCAACGATAACTTCTGTTTTTACAGTTTCTAGTCATAATAACTGGTAATGGGGTGTTTCTCACCGTTTGGTTTAGGTTTTGTTTTTGTAATGCAGCTCTTGTGATTTGAAATTTGTGTTCTGTGACATTGTGATCAATCATTCAGCCTTTATTTAAAGTGAAACAAAAGTCTAAACTCTATCTCTTTCCCTTTCTGTCCTCTGTCTCATCAGAAGAATACATTAACCAGCATCTCGCCCCCGAGCATGGGACACTCATGCTGACATCCACGAATAGCTCTCGCCTTATTGCACAGCTCATGTGGAGTAGAGCAGTGTATTCACTTGACTAAACATTATTATTTCATGCTTCCCCTCCCTGAATCTATACCGCTTTTTTAGCATATTGTGATAGTAAGCAGTAAAGCTCAGGTCATGTGATCGTGCGTGTTCAACCTGAATGAGATCGGAGCCACTCAGCAGATTTGATTAGGCCGTGCAGGCCAATGGGAAGCTTTCCATTAAATGAGGATTGATTGGCTAAGTGATTATTTTTTGTGTTCTAGGATAAAGGAATGGGTGGACCAGATGCAAAAAGAGTTGATCACATTAACAGACACAGCCAGTGGAATTGACAACCTAATAACGGTAAGCATGACTTTATGTTTTTGTGTCTCTTGTTTTGGACCAATTAAAAAAAAGTTTGTAACCATTGTATTTTAAAGTTGAACTGAAATTTGAATTCTCTTCACTTTTGATGTCAGGTGATATTAATAACAGGGCCATTAGTCGACTAGTCTCCTGCATGTTTACGATATTAATTGAATTATTAAATGATATGTTTTGGGCGGGGCAACACAATGGTTTGAGTTGAAGGTGTGAGAAAGAATATTATCAGTAACATTGTTAACACGTCACACACTGAGCGAGCCGCCTGTTAATGACGCTGTGGGCTAATGGGCATGTAGCTACTTCCATGTTTCAGATGATACGTCATGTTTGTAGTCGACCAATGAAAATGAGTTTACATATCACCTTGGGTTCGTCCTTCACCTTCTCAAAATGATCCCACACTTTGGATTTCCTGCCCGACATGTTATTAACTAGCCTGTGGAATAACCGCAGGTACCAGCCCTGGAAATACACATGCCCCGTCTTTAACCGCCTGGAAAACAAGAGGTCGGGGGCTTAGTTTCCTTTTTGGTTTATTCTCTAAATTGTCTCAGCTATGATTTCACCATGCTAACAGCGATAATGCTAACAGTGCTAATGCTAAAAGATGCTAATGTTAACACTGTTCATGTTAACCAAGCTAATGCTAGCAATTTTGATGCTAATTCTGCTAATGGTAATTATGCTAAGCTAACCATGCCTATGCAGATGCCTACCCTTTGTATAGACCTTTCAGTAATTACAATAAATTTTTAGTTATTTCAGTTTCACTCCGTGTTCACAAAGTTGAGTCAGCAATAATTAAAGGAGCTTGAATGCTACATCCTGACTCAGATGTCTCTGTGAATTGGAGTTTGGCTTGCTGCCAAATTGTGGTTGCTACACCTCAAGGAGGACAGTAAATCTCTTTTGTAATGATGGTCTAAAAAATGCTTTTTGAGCCACAGGGGAGTTTTTCCACTGCAATACTGTGAGTGGCCACTGGGAAAAATTAGCTGCAATGCTAAGCAGTGTTCCCGGGGGCCTGAACCTAACTGACTTTCATTTGCACTGTTTTCGTGGTGCTGGCCATTTCGCATTTCGCATTTCACACATCTCTGTGCGACCAGGGATCTCATTCATAAAACAGTGCATAGGATCCATACTCAAAATGTACGTATCCAAAAGCCAAAAATGACTTGCACTAAAAAATATTCAGCAATTTCTTCAATCGGGCTTCCACCTCACCATCTGTGTCTCCAAATGTTTGTAAGCATGGATCAAAGTTTCTCCCATCAAGTCTGTTTTTGTGGATCACAACTTATGTGTGGGAAGCAACGTACGCCTCTTTCAGGCCTCGTTTTGTGCATATGTAGTGTTTCTAAATGAGATTCCAGGTTGTTGCTGTTTCTCTTCCATGAGTCCAGTTGTGGTGAAGGTAAATGAACAAACTGTCAACACTCATTGACGTTCTGCAAGAAATGGGACTAATGGGACTAAGCGATGGCTAACTTTCGCTTTGAAGCTTGGTAAACTGCCCTTATGCCTGTTGGAATATAAGTAATATATTTTTTAAATTTTATTTTTAGTGCCCCCATATATTATATTATAGATTCACTAAGACAGAACCAGAAATATTAATTTTTGTAGGGGACACTGCCGCTGCAAACAAAAAATATTAAGTTTAAATATCTCCTTTTTGGTTATTATAGTTTGGACTACAAAAGAAAAAAATAAATAAAATGAAAGAAAACAACATAACGTGAAATAACAGAGAATATAATAAAATAGAATACATTGATAAAAACACCATGGCTATAATGATTTCTTAGGTTAATTAATTTTCTTTAAATAAAACCCATTAAACAGATTGAGTATCGACAAGAATTATACTTAAAGTTATTGCTTTCCTTACTCTCACTAACCCTCCTTGTACGACCTCAGCTGTCACAACACATCAGCGGTCTATATATAGTATCTTCTCATTAGACATAGCGCTGCATCATTTCATTTCATTCTGCCAGCCCAATGTACACGCTCAGATAAGATCAGCGTCACGACTATACAGTGACGGCCATAGTCCTTGCACACACACCCACACACAAGCCCACATCTGACAAGAAGAAGAAGAAGCTTTTTAGATCCACATTGATTGACATAATGCATCTGGCACTTTTGCTTCCCGCTCCCTTCGAGAATATAATCAGTCTGCTTCAAAGCCTCACGCAAATCATTACAAAATGCATTTTTATTTGATGTGGTGGCATGACTTGTCAGCAGAAATGAGAATTAAACTCATCTGGTGAAATTTTGTGTAACTGAAGCCTCTCAGACTGTTGCTGTAACAGGAGCTGATGCTTTTGGGGACACCCTTGTTTAAACCAAGTGTACTGTACACAGCATGCACAATTTAAAAGGAAGTGTTATGAAGCTTGTGAGTTAATAATACATGTGGAGAAATTATCCAGATTGCCTGTGCGGTTCATCCTGTAAATTACAACTGGAGCGCTGTTAATGGTAAACACAAGTGCTGGACTTTTATGCGCACAGTTGTAGCCCATCTTTTGTTATTTAAGACACAATATAATGGACACTGCGTCCAATTACAACACACAGATTAAATATAGAAATTCCAAGAAAATACTTTGCAATAACTTGATGCACATCTAAAAATCAGGAGTATTACTCTTGCACTAAAGCAAAAAAAAAAAATCCATCGGACGCCTGGAGGATGAAGACAAATACATGGACGCGCGTGAGTTCTGTGGTTTGAATGTCGGACAACGAATTCCCTCCAGGCTGCTAAATAATTGGCTGTTTGGCATTTGTGTTTCTTATTTCTTTTACTGGAGCATATTCCATAGCGCAGTAAATGGTCTTGTTACATAACCTGACATTGCAATTTAATCAGTGGACATGTAGATTCTTTTTTTTTTTTTTTAAATCACTGTGCTTTGGTCAGTGAAGACTGATGAAGAGTAGAGGATGACCAGTGATGCAGAGTAACATCCTCAGCCTCAGATACAGAACAGTATACTGGGGATAGAAGATATCTTAAGACTGAAGGACTTGAGGACGATTGGTTTTAATGCTAAGAAAGTACGTACATGCTGCTCATAATTTTGAGGTACTTGTTTGTTTTCTGAATTTTACATAGAAATGTTGGCTATTTAAAGCCAACTAGTGGTTGAAATCATGAGGTTTGTACGGAAGTACCACACTCTGTTTTTTTTTCCGTAAAAGCCCTTTTGACTGTTTTACCTGTCTTTACCCCTCCATCATACCTATACTCGTCATTATTAGGGCTTATTTTTAACCATTTTATTCCAGTTAGGCACTCTGTGACCATGCTTTGTGAAAGGTGGTACATTAAATATTCTTCATTCAGGAACACTTTAGTCAAAGAAAACTTTATTTCCATTTGTAGTATTATCTTTGGTGGTATGGCTCTGTTCTGGGGCCTCTCTGCTTTACCTAGGCCTACACAGAAAGCCTCTTCTATGCACCTACATGGACACCCTAAGGCGGAGAGAGCACACCTCTCTGCCCTTCCATGTGCAAATGAGCAAAGCCAGAGGCAGAAGGAGCAAACCTCCCTGCCCTTCCATGCGCCTACACGGAAAGCTTAAGGCAGGAAGAGCAGCAGCAAAGACCCCCCATTGAATAGAAGAGAGCAGCATCAATGACAAACAGAAATGACATTGATAGTCAGACACAGCATGAAAAGGAGGAGCTGGGGTGGAGCAGTTTTGCAAAGCAGCTTGCAGAGGAAGCAGCAACAGTAGGCAGGCCAGAGCAGTTTAAATAGGGCGCCCTGAATGAGATTCACCAATTGGTTGTATAGAAAGGAATCATGTGATCTACTCTCTTCCATCAATCGTTGTGCTGGCCTGGCTGAATTCAAGTTTCTATTTAAACAGCTTAACGGCTTCTGCCATTGCCTGCTTTCTTGCGTCGATTTTCGTTTTTCTAGAAACACGTTACTCGTAGATTACCACAATAAAATCAGCAACATCTTTCCACCTCAGCATTTGACTTAATAATCTGTAAAACGAAAAATTGCCATACTTAAGTTAATTCTTTTATTTTCTAATCATCATCATGCAACCACCTCATTTTAAACTGGACCACTGCAGTGGCACAGTTGGGGTGCCAATCATCTGGTAAAAAAAAAAGTACATACAACTTGAATCAACACTGTATGGCCTAATCAAAGACATGTAATTGCATAGTGTTCCCTGGTGGCATAAGGGTTAAGGCACCAACTGCTGTGCAGCATTTTGGTGACTGATAAGCCTTCAAACTCATACATCACTAACTCTAATTGGCCTTCCTGGGTTGTATTACCTTGTCTCATTGGTACCTAAAAAACCTAATCCTCCACCAAGACAGCCTGTGGCCTTTTTTAATGTTTTCAGTCTGAACGACACCTGATTTTTTTCTCCTCTGATTGTCTCAGGTATATCGTCAACACAGACCTCACTTCAGCGTGGAAACCAACAATGCACGGGAACTGGTGGCGACGGCTGCTGGGAATATAGAGAAACTGCTGGCTAACCGCTCCCAAGCCCTGAAGGTAAGTGTGATCCCCTAACACAGAATGATCACGTGTCAACCCTGCTTCTTGGGCGAGAGGAGAGGTTCGGTTTTGGCACCTTCTTTTTACTCAACGTGACCATTCAAAGCTATTAATCTCTTTTGTTTGCGATACAAACAAAAACAACAAAACAAAAGCAAAAAAAAATGCAAACTCTAGTGTGTTTGTGACACCAGATCCAGTGTGTCTCTCCTAGCACAGTGCCCAGAGCCCAAGGAAACACACAGAAACAATCTGCTCCTCCTCATTTCACGTCAGAGCAGACACTGGAACACAGCCACCGCTCCAGGCCATACACTGATCCAATATAAGCAGACATCCTCCAGCTAGATGACTTAATTCAAAGTTACCAGTCTGGGTTCAAAACTGCCAAAAAATGATACTATTTCATTGTATGTGTATTTGTTGGATCACTTTTTGCTGTTTTGAAATAAAATTGTCATAGACGACCTCGTTTAGTTTCAACTTTAAGGAATCCTTCATCTTCCTGTGACAACTGACGCTGAGTCTGCCCACATATATAATCCATACCTGCTGCCTTCATGGGTCATTGTCTGAGCCAGACAGAAAGAAAATGCTATAAGGACTACACTTGGCAGACAGTTTCATTTTGTAGTAAAGTGTTCCCGATAGTGTTCACCACAAGTGGCTGAACTCTTCTGGTTGAATGGCTGACGAGACAGTTCATAGACCTTGATAGAGCTGTGAGGTGGTGTCAGAGTTTCTGGGTGAACCACACAGCACACCTATAACAGTTCATACTGCACAACCTTTTGAGAAACCACAGAACATGTTAAGTACAACAGAACATTAGCCATGCTGACTATGTTGCTGTAGACAAACAATCTTAATCAGTAAGTTTGATCCACAACTTTGGTCTTGACTGAAATATCAACTACTTGATTGATTGCCAGGGAATTGTGTAGAGACATTTATGGTCACCTGACTTTGACTCTAGCGCCACCAGCAGGTTGATGTTTTTGGCTTTTGGTAAAATGTCTTGACAACTTTTGAAAAGATTGCCAGAAAGTTTGTACAGACAGTCATGGTCTCCAGAGGAGAAATCTTAGAGCCTGTTTATACCAGGAAATAACGTGTCGACAGTGCTCAAAACAAGCGTAAATGACCACCAAGATGCTTTGTGTTCTGATCACACAGACCATTTGGCAAGGTGATATAGGATGCATTTAACCAAATAACTTTGGTAGCGTACATGCAAATGTGTTCTGATGCTTTCCATACAAGGACGATGTCATCATTGCAGTACGTGGTGATTGTTTTGGTGACAGTGCGCAAACACTCTATAACTTACCCATTTTATGACATGTTGGATGAAGTTTTGGTTGATTGTCCATTGTTTTGCCCTCTGAAAGGAGATGTGAAGTGAGTATGCTACCAAGACTGTGGACGTAATTGACTCTTGGCTAAGTTTGCTTAGTCCCACAGACTGGCCAATCATAACGTAGCATCGGGCCAGCTAAGACCAAGGTCCGACAACAACACAGCTGTGCTCCATTGACTCTAATGCAGTCATTTCAGATTTCCTTCATTTTCAGGCTGGTTGTGTGGATTTGGAGCTAAATGTTGTGCCTGGGGCACGTCGTGTGTTAATGATACTCGTTACCTGGAGAGGTTGGAAAAAGATATACGTTTCTTCCCTGTTCCAAAACCAAAATCAAACCCTGAAAAGTGTAGGGTTAGCTAGCTAGCTACTGAAGATATAGCCTACTGAATGTATACACATGCTGCTTTTGCTTTTTAATGATTATAACAGTGAAACAAAGACTGACCCTGCTGTACAGGAACCAGTGAAGGGAAGCAGAGAAACTTTGCTGATATTCAACCAGCTCTGTGTCATCACAGTGTGCGCAGATGAACGTTGTTGGCCTTCCCCTGGGGCTTCCCAACAGTCCAGCAGTGGAGGTCCGACCACTGGCAGTGCCACGGGGCCAAAGCCAAACACGGTCCATCTGCACACACTGCGATGCCACACAGCTGGTTCAATATCAGCAAGTTTCCCTTTATATTCATTGTCTTGTGAGGCGATCAGCAGTGATGTGGTGGTTCACTTTTACACTGTGATCTGTAGCCTATAGTTCGGCTTTAGCTTCTAACTATCTTTGTCTTTTTAACCTGTTGTTGCTGCTGAGTCAGTTTGACATCCTGGATATATCCTTCAAACACAGACTGTAGACCCCTCTGTCTGCTTCTCTCTGGAATCACTCTTTCATTTTTCCAAAAATATGATAATATTTCTTCAGGGAGTGCAGTTAGTTACAGTGTGGGCTCCATGCTTACTCTGACAGCTTTTTGGACCATCACAAAGGGGCGGGGCTTAGGAAAAGGTTAATTGTAACCTTTCCCACCAAAACAAAAGCCAGATGTTAGTGGGTCTTAATGGGTCTTTTCTCCAGCTGGAGGTGAGGTAAAATTTGACAGTGCTGCTCATGTGGTTACAGACTCTGAGTCTTGTTTCCATGTAGTTACAAAGGACAATGAGCTAAATTGATCTGTACAACCTTTCACTGCTCCTTAGTTTAAACACAGCAGTATTTGGCCAACTAGATTAGGATCTCGGGGCATTCCCCGGTCTCGATCAATCCGACTCCGAGAGCCAGAAATATCCAATTAAGTCCTGACAGCCTGTTGCCATAGTTACACACTCATTGATTAGTCCATCAATCCAGCCAAGCATTTTGTTTTTCTTACATCCCAATAATTGCCAGGGGATGAGGGACAATTAGTTTTTGGTGTTGTTGTGTCGCACCTTGGGAGAGAAACACGACTGCTCAGTGAATTGATGGCAGCGGAATAGAGATGTTAAACTATAGGCTGTGTTCTTACATTTCATCAACACCATCTGCTGTGTATTTCACCTGCGCGAATTAAAGGCAGTTGTTAAGCCCGTTGCTGGAAGTGTGAAAACAGCAAGGGGAGGCAGGGATGATTTTTTTTTTTTTTTAAGCCCAACACCATATGCTGATGTTCTTTGTGCCACTCAGAAAGTACTGCGTGTTTACTTGTCACTGCATTAGCACTGAAGAGGATATGGCCCGTGGTAGCTACTGTAAATGGTGTTCTGTATAATGAAGTGGAGTTGAGCCAACTTTATGGCCATCAATTTATGTAAGGGACCATAAATAGTTGGTGTGTCCACTTAGCTGAATCACAGATTGAAATGGAGGGAGGGAAAGGACGAGCACAGCATCTGTAACGTGCCTGACCTGACCTACACTAATCTAATATTTCTCCGCACAGGTTTCAGTCTATGCGGTAATGATCCCCTCCCTTTGACTCAACCCCTCCTTGTTCTTTCGGTTCCCATCATCCTTCACTTTCTTTCATCCCTCCCTCCCTCCCTTTTCTCTGTCCATCCCTTGTTCCATTTGGAAGGGGCTGATTACACACAGGATGAAGTGATCATTGTGTGAGAGGTTATAGCTTTCTGTCTGAGAGAAATTGAATGGCCTGATGTGTACGAGAGAGAAATGATGATGAGTAGAGGGAGAGTGGTAGGAAGTCCATGAGTGCACTAAGCCACACCTCCCATGAGGCAGCGTACAAAAGACTAGAAGCCTATTACAGACCCCCCCGTCCATTAAGATCTTGGCCTTTTAGTACACAATTCAACAGGCAGCACTCTCATCCTTTTCACACAGCACTGCTATGTGCCACGGTACATAAAAAAAGTTTCCACCTCCACATACTCTCACACTGAATTCTAGCTATTTTGTGAATAGACACTGCTAATGGCATTTTTGGAAGGCCTGTTTTTTCCTTAACCTGCCCATCTACTGTAGATATGTAATAACACATTGATAGTGTGATCTGTATCATGACATCCGGCTGAGCACTGCAGGAATAAACATTTGAATAATAGACCTATTTGGCATGGAAGCAGCAGAAACATGGCATTATCTCAGCCACCAAAGAAATAGTTGCCCCTTTCACGGCATAGGCTACGTTTTAACATGCCAAAGCAGGAAAGGCGCCGGTGTATATAATAACATTAAGAATGGCTCCATTCAATTAAGTGTCACAGTGAGCAATGTCAGTGAGTGGGCACGCACTAAGAGTCCTAGAAGTGGCTCAGCTTCAGGAATGCAGCATAGTTATTGCTTTTCCTGTTCCATATCTGTTTATCTTGATAAACCAAGCCAATAAGCCCATACATTTTAAAGGGACAGTTCACCCTCAAGACAAACATACATATTTTTCCTCTTACCTGCAGTGCCATTTAACAGTTTAGGTGGTTTTGGTGTGAGTTGCCGAATGTTGGAGATATCGGCCGTAGAGATGAGTCTTCTCTCAAATATAATGGAACTAGATGGCACTCAGCCTGTGGTGCTCAAAGCATCAAAAGCTAACATTTGAAAACTCAACAGCAATGTCTCTTTCTAGAAATCATGACCCAGTTACTAAAGATAATCCCCTGAACTACTTTCTGTCTACCAAACTACACCTGGCAACTGTATCACCAGACAGAAGGAAGTGTGCATCTACTGCTAGCTCACCAAGAAAGACCATACCTTTTTGTAGAGCACATAACATGATAAATGATACAGATTTACAATAAAAGACTAAAGAAAGACGATATAAAATCCATCCATCCATCCTTTTTTCAAACGCTTATCCGAAGCTGGGTGGTTGCTAGGGTAGGCAGGCTGAGCAAAGGTGGCATCCAGATCAGATGCCTGAACCACCTCAATTGGCCCCCTTCGACGCGAAGGAGCAGCGGCTCTACTCCAAGCTCCCTCCGGATGTCTGGGCTCCTTTACCCTATCTCTAAGGCTGAGCCCAGCCACCTCACACAGGAAATTCAACTTGTATCGGCGACCTCATTCTTTCGGTCACTACCCAGAGCTCATGACCATAGGTGAGGGTTGGGACAAAGATGGACCAGTAAATCGGAATTTTTGCCTTCTGGCTCAGCTCCCTTTTCAACACGACAGTCCGGCAAAGTGCTCACATCACTCCAG